CTCATTTTAGTCACTCTTCCATGACAGTAAAGGATGGGCGAATTTTAATTCGTGATCTGTGGATAAGAATTTAGAGCGTGCATCGTGATTCTTCTATTTTTGATGTGGTAGTTATGACAATGTTGTAGGTAGCGTCTCAATCTGATGTATATTTAAGCAGCACTGATTTCAAAATGGAATATCAAAGTGTGGATTAAAGTCTTGTTATCTTATTATTTTTTTTTTTTTGCGAATAGAATGTTAGCAAGAAGTGAAAAAAACACTGAAAATGCTATGTTTAATGTCGGAACACGACGAACTTCAGGATGAAGATATGTTTGCAGCTCTCTTATGGCGTTCAGTGAGATTTTCTGTGTAAAGTGAAGTTTTAATTTAGTCTGGAGAACATACCAAGCTTTCTTGCAAAGGAGTGTAATTTGCAACGAACTTTCCGCTAATACATAAGCTATCCGTTTTGGATATGATCATGGTCCAGTTACTTCAGCCCCACTAAGATCCCTCTTAATTTTTAATTTCCATTGACAGCGTTCCAAAATGTTTCCCCACAAAATTTTCTTATGCATTGCGGGCGGAGCCCATCTTGGTGTTTCACCAACTTAACAGTTCTTGGTGAACTGTTGAAGTCATGTAAAGTGAGTGCCTCGTTACCACAGCACTGCTGACCTCTGGTTGTGAATAAGTGAGGCTGCCTGCAGATATGAAGTGTAACTGCGAATTTATTATTATTATTATTATCAGTGTTCTGTCTGACGACAGGTCCATATGAACAGGATCCTTCCATCCTTTTCTCGGACTGGGACCTGTTTATATACGTTCTTGGCAGATGATCCAGAAGTGGTTTGCCATTGCCTTCTTCTGTGTGTGAATGGAGTAATTGTTGGGATGCCACGGAGAAACCGGGGAAGCCCCCGGAGGAAAACTCCGTGTTGCCTAGACCACGGCCTTGCCCAACACAAGTTATAAATCTGAGCACCACCGGGAATTGAACCCGGGACCCCAGGAACTGCGAATTATGGAGCATAATTAATTATTTCATTTGAAACAATTGGATTTATCTAATTTATTAGTTTAATTTTTTTATTTTTCAGAAATAAAGATGAGGCTTGGGAAATTATTATGAACCCCTATACAGCCAAACAGAGTTAAGGAATTGTTAGATTGTTATTTCACAAACACTCAGTTTCATTGACGAAGGGAGAATTTTGCAGAGATTTTAACACCCGAACGGCTACAGCGAATCTTGACGTAGGTCTTACATCCGTTTCCGTACAAGATTCAGCTGGTGCAAGAATTGCAGTTAAGAGATCATGAAAATCACCAGGAATACTCTCGCGTTTTCCTCCAGGTAATTAACGACGCTCCACTCTGTATGTCGACGAGTTGCATCTCTCAGCTTGAGGGTTGAGCATATATTTAAAAAAAATTCGCTATAAAATATATTGATGCGAAAATTTTACAAATTAATATCATTAAAGATTCCTGATATGTGATATTCAGTTTTTTAAAAACAAGTTGGGGAGGGTGTGGAGTGACTCACTGCCCCCCTCACCTTCTGCATTACGTGATTTTGTGTAGGCCTGCACATGCGTAGAACTTTAAGGCATGTTTACTAGTTCATAATGGGCTATAAAATGGTAACCATGTTATCAGGAATCTGTAATAAAACTGGGGGATAATTGGGTACCTATTTTGGCAGTTTCTTGACCTGAACTTCGTGAGGTCAAATTGATTACGATCAGTTTAACAAATTATGAACGTGCATTCAGGAAGTTCGGTAGGAGAAGGAAACATTCAACATGTGGTTATAAAAAATATATTTATATGTATCCCACTAACTCCATGGACAGTCACTCAGCTAGTCCAACCATTTCCTGCCTTTCATGGAACCAAAATGTTTATTATTCCGTTCACAAGAACCCAGCACCGGTACCTGCCTTGAGCCGGATGAGTACAGTCTACACAACCCCAATTTTTTTGATAGACATTTCAATATTGCCCTTCCATCTACTCCCAGGTCTTCCTAATAGTCGCTTCCCACCAGGCTTTCCAACCATAATTTTGTATTAATGTATTTCTCCCACGTATGCTGCATCGGAAAGTTACCACCGAGGCGTCAGACTGGTTGGTACAAATTCCTGTCCCCTCTCGACGCCCCATCGCTTCCATACTAGTCATTATTATTTGACTTCATTACTTAGTCGAGGGCTAAAGCAAAGAATCATGACACGATTCTACGTCACGGGGTATGTAATTGCATTCGTGCCAGGACAGCTTGACAGTTGTGGAAGGGATTTGAGATAGGTCTCATCTCACTGTTGTAGGTTATGCCCACTGTTTTATGCAGTGGAATCGGATGTTGTACTTCTTAGTAGGGAGGATGTAAACCAACTTAACATTTCTGTGACGTAAATCGACGCCTTGCGAGAGGAATAGCTTAATGCCCCTCCATACGAAGGTCGGAGATGCTTCACACAGTTACTCCGTACGGAGTCTTATCTTCCTGTGCCCTTGAAATGTACCACAACAACAATTTTACTCGTAGTAGACGTATTATTTAGTCCTCGCCCTAACGGAAGAAAACAGCTTGATCGTTCCAGGAACGGAATACTATCGGAAAATATTTAGACGTAAGGAGAATGGAGACTATTACACAGAAGCTTCAAAATTTGTGCTCCATCATATGTCATACAGAACATAAAGTGGTGATTCGCAATGGATGAGGCAAAATATTGCATGCGAGATTTTATCCGAGAAACTTAATCGGAAGGTATAATTTCGGAAATATAAACGTATATACAGGAATAATATCAACATTTATATTAGAAAAGTAGGTTGCGAAGGTCTCCCGATTATATGGACAGGACATTTAATGCCCATGGAGTTGATGGTAAATACTAAATAATTTTTGTTGGTAAGCGTGAAGGGACGAGACCATTCGTAAGACCTAGGCGTAGATGGGGGAATAATATTGAAGTGGATAGTAAAAAAATATAGTGTGAAAGTGTGAATTGGGTTTATCTGGCTGAGGATAGGGTCAAACGGCGACCTGTTATGAAAACGGTGATGGAATTTCGGGTTTTCTTGAATAGCTGAGTTCTTCAAGTTTCTTATTTTTCAGTTGGAGTTTTTTAAGTAATCCTCTTTGTGTTGTGAAGGCGAGTTGCTGAGACGTGCTTAACAAACTTAGTTCGAAGATGGCTTTCTTCTGGATTGTAGCTCTGTGTCCTGAAGATGGAGGCAACAAGGGCCTCAGAAACATTGGTAAACTACCAGACTAAAGGACGCTACATTTCAGAAGACAGCCATCTTCAGAGTCACCGCCGTGAAAACCTCAATTCGTGTTTTCTCCTGAAGTTAATTAATAATTTGCATTTATATAGGTCATTAGGTAAACAAGATTAATTAATTAATTAAATTGGAAGTTTACCATCACTACCACCAAAGGATAATACATTTTACAAAGCGTAAAAATGGTAGATACCATAAAATCCAGCACAGAAATTGAGTTTATAAAGCCTTGCCAGCTGTGTGCAGTAAACAATTTTAATTTAGCTTCAGTTATTTTTTTGTTCTTAAGTTTGCGTCATGATCTCTATCTAACTTGGTGCGGCGCGCACTTGTAATTAAACATGGCAAATTGTAGCCAGGATTACAGTAATTTACACGGTTCCGATTTTCATATATAAAAAAGAACATCTGTTCTATCGTACGGGAAGCTGTGTGCAGTCTTCATCGTTTCTCAGAGTAATTCGTTTCTTATGCCACAGACTTGTACACTTGTACCCAGACTCGCATCCATTGTCAATTTATTTCTATCAAAGATCACAGTGTTTTGATTATTTTATTCCTATTTCAACCGTCATTTGACTTATAATGTTTCTTCCGTGATATTTTGCGATATAATTGCATAAGATATGTCTCGCATGAGGTCAGATTCCTAAATAAATGGGCATCTGATGCAGTTATAAAAGTTGTATAAGTCGCCTAAATTTGAGTCTAGGCACTTTAAAATGTTTGGAATTGATTTATATACTAAAATCAGTGGAATCTACGACTTTGTTATTGAAACTTTAAAAAAAATTGTAGTGGGCGACGTGTAGTAGAGAGGGTGAACTTTGTTTTAATTTAAATCTGATCGTAATAAAATTTTAAAGTTTAAAATTACAAATTTAGATTTATAGTAGATTTCTATCGCTTTTTATGAGAGTTCGTAATGTAAATGCTACTTTATATGTTGACCCTCGACAGTAAACGCTTCTAGTGATAGCCTCAGATGCAAACACATTCAATGACTGTTCAAAAATATCCACGACAATGATTTTTCATTTACTGAGGTTTTGTAAATTAAATGTTTCTAGTGATGGTTCAGAAGGTAAATTTTCTTCCGAATATGACTGTTATGGGATTCTGCACCGTATAATCTGGTACAAGTATAATGACATTTTAGAGGCTTACTGACTTCATCAACATCTCAGAAGACAACCATCTTCATAAAAAGGGACATTACCCAGAGAAGAGTGTTCCAAGAAAACACATACTTTTTACTATTCGATATCTCTTGTGCTATTTTTGTAAGTAGATTATGTATTATTCAATTAATTGTTTCAAAAACGAAACTTCTGTATACAAGAGAAATTATTTCTTGTCTAAAACCGTGAATTTGTCATTATCGCATTCAGTTCATCGAGCAGTTTTGGAGAAACGAGGAGGGCTGGCGCCAATAATAATTGGTTAAGATACTTTGGACCTAAATTTGGCACAAGTCAGCAAAAAAGGCTGTCCATCCTTGCTCCATTGACTCCTATCGGGACCTTGGACAGGTTATGTCAAAATCGCTGACGACATTCCGCTTTTTGGGATCAGTTTGGAAATACTGCATAACTGATATATTTAGGAATGCATGATATTTCAGTATTTGCGCATGCGTAATTTCGTCTTCGCTTCGGCTACAATTGTTGGCGCAGAGCTTGCGGGGGGGGGGGGATTTGTGGCTGGCAGCTATTTCACCTCAGTATCCATCCTGCAGTCCCGTGGATTCACTCAGCTGGTTAGTGCGTGGCATTTCTAGCTCTGTTTGTGCTGGTGTAAAGTTTCGAGACGAAGTTGGTCTGTGCAATGTCTTTTAAGTTTTCCCGGTTTGTGATCGTACACATTTTCCGTTTTATTGTGTGTAACGTATGAACAGACACTTTTTTGTGAAGAGTTGTGTTATTATTAATACGTTAATTATATGGCAGAAAGTGGTTGTATGAGAAACTCATTCACAAAGCGTCTTTTATTACTTCAGGACTTGGTGTTATTTTAGTGAATGCGTCAGCTTGTAGAAAATGAGCTGCAGTTTGAAAATAGAGAAGCGAAAAATTTAAAAAAAGGAAGCTTTTTTAATATCTTAAAAGTGCATAATTAAAAATAAGTTTTTATGACAGTTTGATTACGAAAGATATTTCAAAAATGGCGGTCTTCTAATGTCGAATGTCGAATAAGTAACTGGCGTTCTGAAAGGAAGACCTAAAAATTTCTCTAAATTAATATTTATTTCTTTTACCTATTAAATGACGATGTTTTCATTATAAAACATGATACGTGTGATGTTCTGATGAATATTTTATTACCCGGCCTGAACTCTGTATTTATTGCAAACAGGTGTGCAATTTTGTCGTCTTATCTTGTTGCTGCTTTCAGTATGTAAGTGACAGAACCTATTTCAGCTATAATGTAATTCTCAAGGTTCTTAACACAGAAACGCGCTGTGCAACTTCATTAATAATCTTGTGTTTTTATTTCTTAAAATCTCTTATATATGCGACTTTTTCACTGAAATTAGTCTTGTCTCACCAACCAATTTAGGTAATTAGGGCGACATGTTTAGCTTTAATTGTTTTCTCCAGCCGGATTTTTAAAATGTTCCTGTAGTTTATTTCTCAAGTATGCCCTCCGTTTTTATTGGTTTATTTAGTTTTCTTATGCAAATTGTTTGCTCGTTGGTATATTGATATCCTCAGGACGGAAAAAATGATCGTGTGCCCCTGTGAAATAAGCAGGCAGATAAATTGGAAAATGGAGCGCCGATATGAAACATGCAAAGACCCACACACAATATTCTGAAAGCAAGGTAATACAGTTAAAAATTAAATATCTCAGTGGAATAGTTTATATTGCGACTGCAGCCCGCACGATGCCAAAAACACGTGTGTTCTCTTAAACGGGACAGGCCTTGATGCTATTTCTAAATTTGAGAATTTTTATGTTTGTGAATATTTGAATTTACATTTAATTCACCACTAGAAGGGCTCAAATGCAAACAAATGCACAACGGCTTGTCGTTGGTAGGGACTGTAGTAAATTGACTTAATGTTGCTAAAGTGGAATTTGTAGAATTATTGGGAAAATTACAGTGCGTTTCAATTGTCATCGGTTTGAACTTCGAACGCCGTAGAATCACCAGGCGTCCGGCTATTCGTAATGTCGTAGCCGAGACTCTGTATTTTGAATATTACTTCGTCACTCTAGATCAGTGGTATTCAAGCTTTTTTGTTCGCGTACCCCCAAATATAATTTCTCTTCAACTTTGTACCCCCGAAAGTTGTTGGTGTATAATTCAAGTTATACATAGTATATAATCTACATCTAAAATAAATTAAATGAATTGCATCACTGATTATTCAGTGTTTATCATAAAATAATATTTTTTTTTTAAATTTCACATACCCCCTAAGATGTCTTCGCGTACCCCAGATTGAATACCACTGCTCTAGAACACTGAGGTCGTATTATGAAATACACGATAAATGAATTTATTAGTAATTTTAATAATATTATAATTTTATGTTATTCCAACTATTGAACTGAGATTAAGCTTAACAAACAAGCAAATGCTGATTATATCGTCAGGTATATTCGTGATCATTTTGATATTATTCCAGTGATGAATAATTTACAGTGAAACAAATAAATGGTAATGTACAAAATGATGATATGATTCAGTAGTTTAATCGATAATGAAAATAAACACTGAGAAGAACGACGTATCTGTATTGATATTACTGATTCATTTTACATTCACAAAAGTTTATCAGAGAAGGAAAGTCACAGCCTCTCACATCTGTGGTGTCCCTGTGTGTGTGTGCACGAGATTTAAAGTCAGTGAAAGCAATTAACTTAAAATCAGTGAAATGTGTACGAATCGTACTTCGACGAAAACATTTAGTAGCCAAGTTAAAATCGTCTATCCTGAAATGAGTTAAGCGTGTTGTTTTTAAGTTCTACTCTATTATTTTATCGTTGCGTGTGTAAATGAGCGCTGTAGTACTTCAGTGGGTTTTGTGTGCGACATTTCTTTGGTGATGCAAGAGATGAGATGGTGCTCTACAAAGATGCTGTTTGTTGATCACATTGTAGTCCGCCTTGTGGTCAGTAACTGCATTTAGACACGCGATGGTGGCCGAATCATTTGTGCGTAACAGATGTATTTATCTGACTGGGCTCTGACGCTGTTTGCCACATAATACGAGTTGAAATTTGAAGGTTACGGGCGATGTTGCGATACATTGTGTTCAGTTGTTCTTCTTGACTTGGCCACCGTCCTCACTTAGTTTCAGGGTTCAGGTTCGAGACTAGTTTGACCAGGGAGCCCAACATCTTAGGTGTTTGTCCTCCTTTCTTCTGATTTTTGAAGCAGAACCAACTTCAAAACGTGGTTTTATATTATCCGGACGACTTAACACAGTAATATGAGTTATGTAGTACCAAGCTAAGTAATGTTTTTTTTTATAAATGAGCTGTGTTTCCATCTGTTGCCAAAGTTGCAAATTAGTGGAACCTTATTTGCGAATTAACCAATGTCGTAATGCTTAGTTAAACAATAGCTTTGAGTTTGCAAACAACTTTCGTATGAGTGGGATTTAACGTGGTGAATCATTTAGACTGTGTGTTTCAAATTGTGTAGGCCTGTAAGATACTAGATACGTGGGCTTATAAAGGAGCTACAACTATACAGGATGAGTGTCTTCTGGTGAGTTGCGTTGTGTGGTAATGTTGATACTGACCGACGTTTCAGACGAACGTACCGCCTCCATTATGTCCCTGATGATGGAAGCAGTAAGTTCCTCAGAAACGTCCGCATCTTCTGTTAGACTACAAGGTGCAACGTCCAATAAAGCAAGAATTTTGTATATAAATTTGTTAAAATATTTTCGGCTTAATTTTTTCATAGGTTTCGGATCTGAGATTTCAGTTAAATTGTTCTTACTTTAATTGAGTTTTGAATAAGGCGCTTAACTGAAAGCTTTATTTGTTTCTTTATGCTATCACTGTGGACACAAATAATTCCGCTCACGCCTGAGGTAAGTCTTAGACTAACAAACTTCAGAACACAAGACGTGTGTGCGAAATAAGTAAATGTGCATGTGGGTTGAGTGAGCAGTTAAGTGCCATCCACGAACCATGGCCGTAACTTATGGTAGGTCATTGCCTGTGAAGCCTTTCCGTTAATGCTCCCTTGCTGACAGGAATACGATCTCCCTGTTCCAGATTGATGTCCTAGATTCAGAAATGTATGAAATGTAGCCTAACAGCTGCTTATATAGAGGCTAAATATAAACATAATAATTAACATGTTTCAGGACATTAAGTACTGCTATAACTGGACAGTATTAAATCTTTACAGAGTGTTTATTTGAAGCCACTAAATAAAATAACACTACTCGTTTAGAGACACAAATTGCAGCTTATGGAGAATTTTATATGATGATGTTGCGGAAAATATATTGATAATATTAAAATGGATCGTAGATAATAAGATGGGAGGGGTTGGATTGGATTTGTCTGGCGTAGAATAGCGACTAGTCGTAGGCTTTTTCTAGATGCTAATGAACTTTTTGATTTTATATATGGTGGGTAACGTTTTGACTCTCTGAGAAAATGTTAGCTTTTCAAGAAGGATTCGGGGTGCTTGGAGATCGTTACGTTACGTCATGCTGCGTTGAATGTGGTCTTATCAACATCTTGGCATGCTTTGATGTCTGAAACACATCTGCTGGAGCCCATTTTTAGCTAATTATGTAGCTGTGAGGTCACCAATGTGATTAAAGACAGTTTACTTATTGGACAAGAGATGTACTATAACTAGAAGGCGTTTCTGATGACGGAGGCAGTATGACCTCTGAAACGTTGGTAAACATCGACCAGACTACACGGCGCAACAACCCAGAAGACAGAAATCTTCATACTTATCGCCCTGATGACGGAGGCAGTATGACCTCTGAAACGTTGGTAAACATCGACCAGACTACACGGCGCAACAACCCAGAAGACAGAAATCTTCATACTTATCGCCCTGATGACGGAGGCAGTATGACCTCTGAAACGTTGGTAAACATCGACCAGACTACACGGCGCAACAACCCAGAAGACAGAAATCTTCATACTTATCGCCCTGATGACGGAGGCAGTATGACCTCTGAAACGTTGGTAAACATCGACCAGACTACACGGCGCAACAACCCAGAAGACAGAAATCTTCATACTTATCGCCCTGATGACGGAGGCAGTATGACCTCTGAAACGTTGGTAAACATCGACCAGACTACACGGCGCAACAACCCAGAAGACAGAAATCTTCATACTTATCGCCCTGATGACGGAGGCAGTATGACCTCTGAAACGTTGGTAAACATCGACCAGACTACACGGCGCAACAACCCAGAAGACAGAAATCTTCATACTCACCGGTGTGAAAACCTCAAATCTTACATACTATTTTTTTTATTTACTTAGAGGAATTGAGGGAATGGTGACCATTCCGAGCCATGGATGCTGGGTTCCATTGGGGGGGGGGGATTTGAACCCGCGTCCTACCGAATATGAAGCAGGAGTGATCACTGTTCGTCCTCGAAGTTCGGTCATTTCTTAATATCGCGTAACTCTGTACGATGAAGAATAGTTCCCCAGATACCAGAAAACCCGTTTGGTTAGTTATCAGTATTTGCCAATATCGGTAATTAGATATACCGTTTAGACAATTTGTTCTGCTTATTAGGAACGTCAGATCACGTGCGACTGAAGAAAACCTGGAGAGATGCATTCGAATCGCAGAAACAAAAATTAAACCTGATATTCAAAGACGAATGACTCATACGACTGATTTTGTCAAGAGGAAATGCTATTATGCAGAGAACTGTAATTCCGTCGTTCTGAGACATGTTTATAAATAAGCAGTGTTTAAAAATGTGAGTAATATGGTCCTTTTTGCAGTAGTATGGCTAATTTAATTTATCATTCTTAACCCTTTGAAGCCGAATCACGTCTTAATAATATTCATTCGTCCATGCCTCAAAGAAAACACAACCAATAACCATTACAAGAATACATCAGTTAATGCCCTTAATGCCACGATAAAAAAACGCAAATTATTGATTATTAAAGCAGCTGGCACGTATAGTACCACCAGGCGTTAAAAGGTTAATGAATTGTCATGGCGTTTAAAAAATCGTCCTTTGCTGCCCGCGAGTCTACAAAAAGGCGTTTGAAACCCAGGACTGGATAATGTTGGGAACTTCTCCTGTTTGTTTGCTGATTTTCCTTAGTTTCTATGTTTTAATCACATGCCGACTGACGTAGAAGGAAAGAATTGTTGTCTTGAGAGATTTAAGAAGAAATGCTAATCTGCAAGAGTTGCATTATCGTCGTAAGAAGACATGTTGGTAAATAAGCAATGACACTGTGTGTGCGCGCGCTAGGCTCCAGTAGCCGTCAAGGCAAACGCTTCTGACGTCAAAGTTCATTATAAATCGTGATATTACGTACTGACCTCAAGTGAAGGCTGCTGCCCATATTCCTGGCGCATGGTTCTGTGAATGTATCCTACCTACATGAGGATTCTTTGAAAATAGGCGAAGAGTTGAATGTGAAAAGATGTTTTTGTTTCTAAAGTGCAAATACTATAGAAATGTTAAAGTGTTGATATTTGAAAAGACACCTTCGAGATTAGAAGATGAAAGAAACATGGAGGAATTATGGTATTTAGAAAACCTAAGTGAGATAGAGGATAATATTAAAATGCGTGTTAAGGAAATGTGCCGGCTTACCTCAGTGTAGTTATTGGCTACGGGTTGG